ATGAAAGTGTAATGTCCACGGAGCGGAGTTTCGTACAAAGTAAAACTATATGTCGCATGCACTTGAAAGGGTGCGTGTTTGGGTTGTTTTTATTATATCAATTTCACTGTCTTTTCGCCCCGCACATTATGTTGTCACGTTGATTCGCATAAAATTTGAATTGTTCCTATTTTTTTCTTCGTTTTTTGGTAAGGTGGATTCTCATTTTTGTATATTTTTTTTCATCACCATGAAAGTAAAAAAAAAAGCACAGACTGAGAAGAAGGAAACGCAAAGTCAATGCGAGAACATGTGAAAAACCACATAAAATTAAGGTATATTGTGTTGTCAAGTGGAGTTTTGAGGTGTTTCGAGCCATTTAATTTGGGGAATGGTATGCATACTTGCATACTTCCGTGCTCGAGCACGGTAAGTTCATAGCTATCTTTTGGGGATTGCTTCGTGAAAATTCACAATATTCAAAGTATTTGAGGTATATTAATTTTGAAGATCCACGCTTGATTGGCATAAATGTTCGAACTTGAGCGGTAAATAGCCGTAGAAATGTCAAAAACCACAACGAAAATAAATACATATCACGAATGCGTTTCTGTCGAGAAGTGAGAGGTTCTATCATCCAACACGCAGGTCATTGTACCCAAGAAAAAAATGAATAATATGATAGAATGGTTCTACATCCAGCGTTGAATAAGCAATAGAACATTTGCGGCAAAAGCATGTGAGCCTTTGAAGGGTGGTATGAACTGCCAGTTTCAAATGGACAGCAACACCAAACAGAGAACCAAAAAAAAAATAATACACGTACGCACGCACGTTTGAAACAGACCACCAGACCACAAAATGTTCTGTCTAAATATACCGATAAACTGGGTATTGTCTTCTTGGTTGGATACCGAAACGGACAATTTTCAAATGAATTCATTGTGCCTTGATAGTGAGACAAAAATAGGCATAGCCATAGCCGCTGTGTTGCGTATGTGATTATGTTCACCTGAAAAGTTTGATTTCATTACACAGTAATAATTGGATATGTTTCATGTTCTGTTCATGTTTCTACTTTGCGGCATTTGTTTCGGTTTTCGGTCGTTTTTTTTTTTCTATTTTGACCTTTCTACATAGTTTGGACATTTTAATCAGTATCAGTGGAAACGAAGAAGAACAAACAAATACAACGCAAGAACACTACCAAAAATATCTGGGGCGCTTTTTTTAGACCTGCCGACAAAAACCAGAATCGATAATCGAAAACAAACATGGTTTTGATTTTCAATTTTTTTTTAATGCTATCTCAATACGATTCAAAAACGATTATAGCTATGCGTCAACTTCCTGTACGTTCAGTTTGAATGCGAACGATTTTGGTTCCTTACTTCGTATCAAGCACAGTGAGTGACGACTGCTCATGGCCGAACCATTTAATTATTGCTATGGAAACGATATAAAAAAAAAAGCATTGGAAATCCGAAAACGAAAATTGATATAAAACAAATTCGAAACAACATCTAATTAAATGTATTTTTCAAGTGGTCAGAAACATGAATGATCCGAAATAAATTAAAATGAGATAAAAAGAGAAAACAATAACGTCAGAGTGCAATTGAGTCGATGATATTCGACCTACATTGAATATATTCGACAATCAATTAAGAAATGGGAGCATTTAATATTTAATTACCAAAACGAACAAAAATCATCGGATATATTTAGTTTCATTACATTATATCATCAGAACCAGACTTTTCGGACGAGATTATTTCAACAATAATATAATATTATTTTCGAATGCCCAGATAAATCATATTTCACGAGATAGCCGGCTGATTCAATGGCTAATAAAGAATATTTTATATTTTCTATGTTACGCATCGTTTGGACAAGATATGAAATGAAACAATGGGCAGTATGAACGTAAAAATTACAAAAATTATGAAAAATGTAACCACTGTAAATGAGGCTACAGTCAGTAGAAATGGATATATAGCAATAGTATTTTGGTGCAGAGAATGAATGAATCAGATAAAATGATTTCATGATGTCATTGGATTCATTGTCATAGTTCACATCCGATGAACTCGTCTTTGCAGTAGGATAAACTACTAATAATTGAACCGAATGAAACATTTTCACCAAATGCTATTGGCAATAGAGTAATTCCTAAAATTGGATGTTTTTGAACACAAGAAATATCCAGAACAGGCCTGTTCACTCAGCACGAATGGTCATTTTTTGGGCGAGTGTGTGTTGAGGGATTGTATCAAGATCAAATCAAATCAAATCAAATAAATCGAAATTTTAGAGATATGTTCACGTAACATTTTCATCGCCATTTTATATTGTTCGCAACAGTGGTGATCTATTGGCGACGTGAAACATTTATTACCATGAAAAATTACCCAAACGAATTTCGAACAGAGCAAAACATCCATTACAATAATCCACACACTAGTTGAGATATAACGAGAATAGAGAATGTCAATTTGCTGCGCTTCGCGTTTTCTAACGTTCATTACACTCAGCACACTGTGCATGTTCGGCGCCGATACATGCCAAATGGACCAAAATCTAGATTATAAACCCAATATCAAAGTGTATGCGATAAGCGAACAAATTGAATATCAAACATTTTTACAGCAAGAATGGAAGAGAGAAAAAAGTTCATCAACATGCATTTCAGTTGCAATTGCCTTCGCGTTTTATTTACATTCAAATAAATCCGTATATAGAAAGAAAAAAAATGCGCGTACAATGTGCTAGAAATGGGACAGAATCAAATAAAACGAATATAAAAATCGACATCGAGCAGAAAAGAGCGGAAAAATAGGGGTGACTACCCTCGAAATGTTAACAAATGTCTTGTTGTGAGAATATGCACGAGAAACATTAGAATGCACACATTAAAGCGTCGCAAACATGAACGAAAAAGGCAGGACCACTACATGCAGAGTGTGCGCGTGTTTGTGTGTGTGTGTGTGTGTATGTGTGTGTGTGTGTGTACGTACGTATGTGTGTGTGTGTGTGTTCTAGATCTACTTGGGATATGAATTCTGTAGTGTGTGCTCACCAAAGGAATAATAACGATTAGCAGTCAAACAAAACGGAAAATACCCACAGAACGTACGTACGGATAGAGAAATGCAACAAAATAAAAATGCTGTATTTATTATAATGGTGTTGTGAGGCATAATAGAACACACAGACCCAGCAGCAGAACCGCACCAAAACACAATACATAAAGAACGAAAATGGGCAATACAAAGGCACACAACGTGGAGACGCACTGAAAATGTGTGGATGAGAGGAAGCGAATGAGCGGCAAAGCGAAGCATGGAAAATAACACATAAAACGAGAAAAGATGTAGAAAATAATCAACCTCTCTGGCAAGCGTTCTCTGTTTCGGGGTTCGATTTTTCTCTTCTGCTTTTTTTTTTTGCTGTGAATATTACGCAGAAAGAGAGTGCTTACCAACATAGTGAATGCGACTGTATGGGTGCATCATAGTTTGTGTATAGCTCGCTCGGTAGATTTACCATGCATCTTTCTTCTTCTTTTTTTACCTACGAACGGTTTGAAATGTGTGTTTCGGGTACGAGAGGGAACCCAAGTGCACCGCTTTGTATTTGTTCAACCATTTCTGCTTTGTGTGTATTCGTCGCTTATTCACAATCCCAGTGCTGTATGCACATTGTTGAGCCAGGCAAAGCATACTTTATTTATCGTTTTTTGTAACGGTGCTCTTTTCAGAATTCACACTTTGATTTGGTCTCTGTGTGAGTGTGTCTGTGTGCATTTGATGCATTTCGAGGTAGACGCAGCAAAGTGGAGAACAGAAAATGTGCTGTTTGTTGCTGCTCATAGACGGTTTTCCATTGAATTACAAAGAATGCATTTTCTTCGAAGTCGAATCGAGTCGAGTTGAATCGAGTCGAGTTGAGTCGAGTTGAATCGAGTCGAGTCGAGTCGAGTTGAATCGAGTCGAGTCGAGTCGAGACGATTCGAACTGAGCCGAGCCGCAAATGCAATGCACGGCATTTCACAATCGAATGCAAAAGGTGAACGCGCACGTAGAGTTCAACTGTTTCACACTGAGAGGCTCTCACTGTATGTGTGTACGTACAGTACGCTTCGTAAACTCATGTGTCTGTGTGGATGTGTTTGTTTGTTAACGAGTAATGTACGACGGCGTCACTTTTTAAAACTACCCTCGACTAAACGAAACTGTATTGATTCGACGCATTTCAGCCAATTACAGGACATTCGTTTTCGTTGGGATTTCATTTGAAATGTCCAAAACTTCCCTTACTACACATTTAAAACCAATGTTCTACAACCACTAAATCGCCTTTGATTGATGTTTGGTGAGTAGCGCGAACTCAGTAAATAATTATTACCAATAATGATGCTATGATGCCATTTTCCCAAAATGTCCACTACAATAGGCGCTATTGAAATGGCAGATTCTTTTGAAAACATACAACTTTCGTTGAACATTCAACGCTGAATCCATCGTTCTATCAAACTATTTGAGCACATTTTGACGATATTGATTTTTATTTTCGAGACATTTTCATCATACATGCGGTCACAATATGTGATGGTTGTTAGAACGCCGCCACTAACTTAGACCGTTGTCATTGTTGCTGTTGTTTGAATATATACACGCACGTCTGCCAACTACACATTCCTGCTAGCACACTCGAACGAAACGAAAAGAAACGAGCCAAGGGTGAAATTGTGTACTGCGTACATTGCGTTCGAGTTCAATGAAATGGCGTTGCTTTCTTTTTTGTTTCAGTCGAATATAATATAATTTTCCCTCGTCATCGATGGGCATGGATATTATGAATGTATTCACTAGCCACATTTTTTCAGAAATATGGCGCAATATTCATACATGAAAATATATACTGGGTATACATATATATATATTTTCATCGCCGTTGTAACTTGTAAACACATAAATAAATGATCGATATAGATTGGAATCAAAATAAAAACCTACCGAATTATCCAAAAAAAGAGTAAATCTCCCAAATTTTGTTTGTATCAGCTATCAAACGAATATCTCAGATGATGCAAAAAATCTCACAAAGCGTTTATATTTAAAACGCAAATGTTTTGTTTTTGATTTTTCTTGGATGTAAAACACGTTTAATTTTTTTTTCTCCAAATAAACGTATCCACACAATTTTTTTTTAAGTTCTATATTCGCAACGAAGTTCCTGTGATCTGGCTTTACTTTGCACAAAAATTCTCCATTAAAAAAAAAACACACAGCAGCTTGTTGTATTCAACTTAATCACGTAACAGCATAACGGAAACGTTCTTTTCAACGTTCAACGAGAAACTATCGCCGGCTGCCGGTTCGAATCAAAACATACCAGCCGTCTCCAAGCGAACCACAGCGAAACAAATCGCATCCGTACAAATGTGTTTGTTGTTGTTGCTGTTTACATACCGAGCGATACGCTAGAGGCAGACGAAGGGCAAATCATGTTTCCATCCATCGGTTAACGTATCTCACTCGGTCGCAAATAGGCGCATATGGTAGCGTCAAATGGAACATACGTGCTTGTCTCTCTTCGTTTGTGTGTTGCCTATGCCATCTTCATTCCATCGACGCTTGGACCAATGACGTTGTCTTTGTCATGCGCAACGCATTGCATGCTTATGTTTCGAAACGCGCCAAGCATACGCATACTTCGTGTACGTCGCCTGGCTGCATCGAGTATCAGAAAGCAATTATTATGAATAAAAAGCAACGATTTTTTCGTTGTTCAAAAAGATGAGTTTGTCATAGACAAAAGCGATTCTTACGGTGTTGCGATCAATCATTCGGCGATTCCTCTCTACGATGAGCACCGATTCTCTCATTTCGATAACGCGCGCACGATGCAACATTCAGATGCTATACTTCATGGAATCGTTTGAAGAACTTTTTTCTTCTTGGAAATTTATACCTAACGACCGAAGACACAGACACTTCACCAATCAACATCATTCAGTGGATTGCCATTGATTCGATCTTGAACAAAAGCCGTTTAAGTTTTTGTTCATTTTCGTGCGGCTTAAACAGCTAAAATGAATAAATCTAACAAGCCCCGAATATGGGACAGTTTTTTTTTATTCCAGTAAGTTTAATCCATACTAGAATTTCGGGTGCACTTTGGTGTCTGTATTCACAAACATCTCCAAATGTCAATGGATTTTGGTATCTAACATAATATGGAATTATTTTCGTTTGATCGAAGTTCGACAATTCGATTGTGATCAATAACCGAAATGCATAAAAACAATATGCTCTATCTTTCATCCCTTTGCGTCTACCTCATCGTTTGTCTGCCTCACCGAAATGTATTGTATTTTTTTTACCCTCTCATATTTCGGTAGCGGTCTCTTGCGAATCTCATGCTGCACATATATCGACAATGCAGACCCAGTAGTATCGTGTGCATTACACACTCAATCGTGTGGCAATGTGATGCGACATAAAGCACAGTTCGTTTTTTTTTTCATTCTTAGCTTCTCCGTTCAGTTTTGAAAATTTGTTGTATGCCGACGATTTGGTGACAAAGGGAAAACATGATAGCGACAATATGCATAAATAATATCGGGCATAATACAAAACGACAATGAACGTGAACGTGAACGTGAACATTGGTATTACGATGGCACGGTGCAGGATGCACAGCACACCTTTTGTTCGTTCGCTACAAGTTATCGAAACGTAATGCCATATATGGTTTCATTTGGTGTCTACTTCCCTCTCTTTTTTTCAATCATTTGTTCATGCATTTTATCCAATTTCATTCTCCTTTACGGATTATTTGTTTTTCCTCACGTTTTATTTCATTTGTCTATCGAATTCCGCTTTGCGCCATATGTTTTATTGCCAAATTGGAAATTTTCGGTACGAAAAAATAGAGAGAGAGAGAGAGAGAGAGAGAGAGAGAGAGAGAGAGAGAGAGACTGTTTGTGTTGCGATCAATTTGATTTTGGGGAAAGCGTGTACGAATCATATACTCATGCTATTTCAATGAAACATGAGCATAAATCATTCGATGAAGTGAAAAAGTGAAAATAACGATTGCGTTTGTTTTAGAAAGTATTCAATGACAATGACAAGTTACGATTACTGCCGTTTGCATTGTGGATATTCAACGTTCAGTGGCGTTCATTTTCTTGGTCATTTTCAAATTATTCCCACAACTACGGCTTTGCGAAGCATCTTTCGGTTTGCATTTTACAAGCACATGCATCGATGAAAGGAATAGTTTAGATCACACAGCTAAAGTAGCGTTAGACATCGTTAATAAGTAAGACTCTATCTCGAATTGTAGAGAGAGAGAGAAACGACTGCAACATGCAGTAATGACAAGTCATTTTGTGTGACCAATACAAGAATCAATCTGATGTCATTCAAATGCATCGATGATTCAACGTTCGCCGCATTCAGATTTGATTATGGTTTCAATGAATAATAATGAACTGGTTTCTGAAGCTAATTACTCCAGTTCAGATATTATACGGTTTTCTAGTTTGCATAAATTGTTTCGCTTAACTGAATGCATATGTTACAGTCACTCGATTGGAATGTCTGTACATTTTTCTAGCCGCTCGATTAGAATTAATAATTTGCATTCATTTCGAGTGCATCATTTTGTTTTTGCATCAAAAAAATGGTTTCCACCACTTCACACCAGAACACCTCTTCCTGAGTTTTTTTGTTTTTGTAAAATTTCATGTACAGTGCTCTCTCAGAAATCTCAAGTAGTTAGTTTTTGCAGAAAAGCTTAAGTTTTCTGGACAATTAAGATTTCTGAACGCAACTTTGTATGAAATTAGTGATTTCGTTTTTCGAAAATTGTTTCAGTTTTCTGGAAGATTAAGATTTCTGGTTCTTAAGTTTTCTGAGAGTGCACTGTATCGTAAAAATCTCCAATTACTCCGCACAAATAATTTTCTTTCTGGTCTACCACGAAAAGAAAATTGCGAGAAACATGCTGCAGTTTTCTGCAATTTTTGCTGCACTGGTCGACTTAACTACCCGTGTGCAAATATTGTCACTGAGCAGTCAGTTAACTAATTTTGGACGAAAATGACTTACAAATAAAAATTGACATTTCAGTACAAAGTGTAGTGTAAGTCTATCATAGTTAACTGAAATCATTTGAATTTACATGTCAATCTAAGTTACTTAATTTGGGACAAAGTGCTTTTCTTAGAACAAAAACATAAATTCAATCAACTAAAGTCAACTGAAGTTATAGACTATAGTCAGTCAGTCATTTTTTTTTCTCACACGGGTAGTACAGGATCTGTAGATCAAAACGAAATGTTATTCATGGTTGCATGTCCGCAAATAAGTCGTTGAACGCATGACTGATAGACAAACTAGATGCATTTCATGCTTTAGGTGTTCTATTTTAGCGATACGGTGGACACTTGAACCAATACCATATTCATAGTTGTCGCGATATGCACGCAACCGACGTCAGTCATATCAATTTTTCTGATATTTCTATTTTTCATTGTGCGTCGTCGTCGTCGTCGTCGTAGTCGTCTTCTCTCTTCTTCTCACATAAATTGTAATAGTTCGTTAAAATCCGACTGAAGAAGAAGTGTGAGTTTTATTCAATAATATTCTGCTTTAATGCACCAGGTTCCCACTTCAATGGAATACTATTGCCATTCCAGAGCGAAAGAAAAATATCAAAGGAACATTAAGCCCCCATAAATGGAATGAAATAAAACAGTCACGTTTTAGTAAATTGGTGAACAAACCATAATTACATGATATCACGTAATTCCGAGGCAAGATCGGCATTTTTTTTCACTTCGCATTCACCTATTTCTTAATATTGCGCTTCGTTTGTTGTTTTTGCGTCCATCACGGGAAAACAACTATACCTGTTTCGAGTAAGTTTAAAAAAAAACAGACTGTACAATCCAATGTGTGTATCACACAATTGAAAATACGCTTGCATTTACGTGCCAGTCAATATGAAATCCCAAATTGTGAATTGCAACTTATGTGATCGCTTATATACATTTTATCACTTAAAACCGGAGGCAGCAGAAAGAGAAGAGAACAGAAGGAGACAAAGAAAACAAACACGCACACATAAATCATTGGCAAATTAATGTCACTTTTGCCCGTCTTTTGATCTGCTTGTGACGTTTTTGTTGCATTTTTTTTTCTCTGCCGTGAAAATAAAAGAAACAAAGCAACTTATTTTCACGGAAAATTATTTACGTTCGATCGTAAATACACGGCCGAGTGTTCCAGTGATGCAGTCGATGATACTACTGCTGTCACTGTCGCTACAACTACGATCTAACTAGTAGATATTCATTATGCGAGCGCGCTCGTGTGTATTTTTTGCTTACACATATAGGAAAGAACGCGATGCTGTGATGTATACGACTTGTTATTGAATAATAAAGTAGAATTTAATGAAATCGAATTTAGCAGTTCTGCTTGATAAAGCCTGATTTCAATAGACCGGAAACTCACAAATATGCCTTTTTCGCTTTGTTTGCTTCATTGCACGATCGCCTTTGTGCTTTCCAAAGAGCGTCTTTGTTCGCTTCTTCCCTTGGCAAAGTCTCTTTTTTTAGCCAATCAAACGTCACATGTTTCCTATAAAATATATTGATTTCATGTACGGGATCGTTCACGATACACACAAGCCCAGTATAATATATTCAGTGTATGCTGGATCTTCTGTCGACGAAACAAAACAAAACGAAAACTCTCTAATAGTTCAAATGTTTAGCCGCCGAATTGCAGTTGCGGTCGCTAACGTTGTTGCACTCACTAATTTCAATCAATCTGAATCCAGCGAAATGAACAATTTCAATAAATTTAGACAAATTAAAACCATAATAAATACAATCAGTCGATTTAAGTACCAAGTAATTGAATCGTCTGTGTCAAATGGTCACGTCATGTCAAAGGAATTTCATTTTGATCCGAACACCCGAACCGAACCGAATCCGAAACCCATAGCAAGCACGTACACACACAAACAATTCAATGAAAGACGAACAAATAACGAAATACCAGCTAATGATAAAGAGTTGCTGGCGAAAAAAAACGAGAGTTATAATGGTTTCAAGTGTGTCTTGTCGCCCGCCAGCCGGCTCGTGTGTATGCATTTACAATTGAATGCTGTGATGCGCTCCATAATGAATATGTTTAATAAGCACATGCCTTATCTCTCGTCTTCATACGTAACGAGTCTATTTTGGCAATGAGCATATCATTCTTTTCATATCTTGGAAATGTGCATTCTCGCAACAGCATTCTACTACACGGGCTGCGGCTCCATTTCGAGTGTCAGCATTCAGCATTCAGCACATTCACTGATATCATACGCAATAAGAAAAAAACATGGAAGCTGGGACAAAACACCAAACAAATCTAAAAATAAATTGCATTTGACGTTTGCGACGAGAGCAAAGCATGCATCATCTCAAATTCATGCAAAACATACAATGTAAGATACGAAAAACGCGAGAAAGGGATATGTGCAAAAATTGCATTAATTTCAAACAACAGCATTTAACGGCATTTGCACAAAAATACATCGGACCCATAATCGAATGACAAAAAAAAAATTGTTGACAAACACGAAAACGAGAACTAAACTAAATGAACAAGTACCGAATCACATTGTCCCGGTTTCCGTTGCACAGTATGCGTATGTATGTACTTGAATGTCGCGCGAACTCTATTATAATTTTGGATTCAACCCAGATTCATCGGGATGCAGACAGCCAGCAATCGATATTACTACGTATTCATTCGTATGTGATCGTTGCTTGTGGCAAAAAATCACGACACACAATTGGTGTTCTGTCCAGCGCCAATCATTGTTTTGGTAAATTAGCATTGCCATTGGATTAAAATCGTAATCTTGCACTGAGTGAGCGAATTTTGTACACAGGATTGTTCAGTTGCATGCGATTGAATTGCCCCTGGACGTGTGTACAAAAGAGAAGAAAAAAACGAAATGATGAAATGATAAAAATCACTGCACCTTAGGTGATACAAAATTATAATATAAGAGTTGAAACATTCATAGTTTGTTGCGAGCGTTACGATGAAGTGAAGTGCTACGATGAATACTGACCAGAACATTTATGCCCGTCTCTTTTTTATATTTGGCACTACTGATTCGTTCACTTAGCACCGTTTTGAATTCGTTCCGCTTTTTTTCGCTGTTTTTCATCGCTTCATAAGGTTATTTTTGTTTGCCCTCTATTAACGTCGTGCATTTTGTCACTGCATCATATACTTTTTTTATAATTCGACTGTTTTTCGCATGTATTCGTTCGCAATTGTTTAGTCATATGGAGTGCATGTTGAACGATTTTTAACTTTTTACTGTGAATTTAAACATTCTTTAATGATACATTTCTTTCCGCTGATTTTTTTTCTCTTTTTTTTTGGTTCGTTTTAATTCCGTTGGAACAATTTTCATGTGAGACACGGAGAATGTGAATAACCATAAGAGAAATGTCTAAGCGCTACTACGTTGAATCAAAGTGATGGTGCCAAAAGGAATGGAATAACAACAACAACAGCAAAAAAAAACGAGAGACAAAGAACGGATATAAGCAATGTTTGTGTACAATACAAAGCTGCTACATGCTCGTGTTACAATATCTCTGCCGCTCGCTGTGTGTCGACTCTTTCGATACGTTGCAATGACGATGATTTTTTTTATGATTAGCATTGTTATTACTATTATATACGCTGCATTGTCGTATTGAACTCAATAACATCTGCTCTGCCGAGCGTTGGCTTACTGGAAAAAGCATCGAAAGCCGCTTGTCGCAACCATAGCTATTACCTGTGCCGTGTCTAGCTGTTGTTTATGTTCGGAAATCTCAGCCTTCTGCAATGCATCAAGCTGCACATTATTATGTATAGAATATATCGCAGAAGCGAGGTCTCTATTTTGAAGAGAGAGAAAAAAACACAAAACGACCGATTCCGATAGTCTTTTTCTTACCCATAATGGATTCCCTTTTACATTCAAATGCATGGCTGTGATTTTTTTCTTCTTCTTCTTCTTATTCTTCTTCATCAAATCAACTACATGCAATGATACTACCATGAAATTAAGAATAATAAGACCAGCAATGTTATACCTCACCTTCAAATTCAAACAAAAAAACAACAACATTTCAATTCAATCAAAGCCTTTGAAGACAGGCCCATATATTTGCATAATTTTTCCTCTACTTCGAAAGTCGTTCTGGATTTTGTTTAGTATACACAACAAATATGCTATAGCATCTGTATACAGATCATTTTTATTTAATTCAATAGCCTGTACCTGCTTCCTTCTGTTTTTTTTTTTTTTTTTAATTTGACCGAAGTATCTTCAAAACTAGACCAATCTATAAATTGGAAAATCTATTTCTTTGTCATTCAAATTTTTCTTCACCATAATTTACATGTTATTCGAATAATCAAATGGTTTTAATGCGAGAAAGAATAAATACTTTTATTCAAGACATCGAAATTCCCAGAATATAAAACCGGTTGAAATAGCGTGAGATGTTTCAAATTTGTTATGTTTCACAGGCCTATAAAGTCTCGAAACGGGGTGTATGATGACTTTTCTATGACTTTTCATGCCATTTACTGCATGTAATTACATCAATTGGCCGAATAATTGTATCAATTAGTCTTTTTAATACAAAAATGCAAAATGTAAAAATTATTTGGACAAGAAATAAAAAAGAAACAACAAGAAGACTAATCAAATCCTTCCTTTGTTCCGAATGCATTTTCAAGTTTGTTTCATGAATAACGTGGACAAGAAATAAATGACCTTGAAAAAAAAGATTCTTTTTAAAAAACTGTATGTATGTTTTGAAGATGGACTCATTGCTATTGCCCATGCTGTGCACAAAGATACTACATCTCTTCTCCAGAGTAATTACCCTTCAATAATTCTAGAAACTCCAGACTTAGCATAGAAAAATTGTTACTTTTCAATCTGTTAGGTGTTAGTTTTGATTCATTCTTTGCGTATCACAACAATAAGTAGAGAACTTCCTACGCTTGGAAAATTCTATCCAGGATATTTCAATCGCTATCTCATGAGAACAGTGATTGAATAACGTTTTTTTTTTTTTTAATGAAATGATTCAATCAAAATTTTATTTCGAGTAAAAATAATGTCCCTGTTGAATGCCAATTGTACAGAGTTCCAGGACAAATTGCATAAATACGGGCGTTTTGATTGAATGTTACATTGAAGTAGCCGTTTAGATTGACTATTGCCAATTAATATGTTGAGATTGTGATTTAACAAGTAAATTTTAAACATTTATTAGATGACGTTCTAACGACGAATAAATTCGATTGTGGAATTCAAACAATTCTCCAAATTGATTCTATTGCATTTAACAGAGCTATCAACCCGTATCAAAGTCACATTTCAAGAGGTCAATGGGTTATGAAAATGAATCGAGATCACACACACAAAATGGGGAGTCCATTTACATTGTGATTATTGAATTGTTTAAAGAACATTACTAATTGCAGAGGTCAATCAACATAGAAATCAGTGAGTCCATGCTAAGAAAATGTGATTACCTAAATTCAATAGAACGCATTAAAACAATTATTTAATTGAATTTGTTAACCATTTTATTATCGAATAGGAAGAGTTGCAACTTAATAGTAGTGAAAACACATTGAAATTTCTCTGAAAATATTATTTTCTGTTCATTTTCAAAACGAAGACCAATACATTGAAACATTTGCAATGGCCATAGATTGAAATTAAATCATTAATTACTTAATTCTATTCGTTTCTAATTCATAAGTACATGCTTCCATTATGTTTTGTCAGAGAAATACAAAAAAATGTTAAAGACTTAAGATCCATGACTCTTAGATGAACTGATGAGATAATAAATTAAATACCATTTTCTTAGGACGATGGGCGTAATAGCAAATTTAAGTCAAATATGCACAGCAGTATGGATTATTTTTTGACCAGGATTTCAATGGGATTTTCGTCCAATTCATCTTAAGAATACGTGAAGCGAATACTGAATAAAAACGGCACATAAAACAGACAGCGAACTCATCATGCCTATTCTTGATGAGCTATTCGTTGATCCATCATACATTCGTGGAGAAGCGATAACGGATGGTTCAGGCTTGAAGCTCCAGTCAATTTCACGGTTTCGCACAATATGTGCATACACTTTAGCTGATGCTTTTGGTGTTCGTGTACGTTCTGGACTTGAAAAATCAACGTGGAAGAGTCCAAATTGTTCGCTGTAGTGTTGAAATAAAGTGCCAAGAGTTAAACAAAATCATAGAATAATTGTTTGACAAATGCCAAAAAAAAGCAAAACTTACGTAAATCCAGCTTTCCATTCGAAGCTGTCCATAAGACTCCATGCAATGTATCCCGTAACCTTGCAACCATCCTCCTAGAAATATGCATTATTAGATCAGAATTCATCATAGTCAAATATTCAACTCAATCGCTATAGCTATACGCTCACCATTGCATCCAAAACAGCAGATAGATACGAATTAAAATAATTTATACGATCCATATCGTTCACTCCATTACCATCGCTGACACCATTTTCCGTGATTATTACCGATGGATTATTATATTCTTTGTTGATCCACATCAACAGTTTATACATTCCGGAGGGCACAGGCTACGAAAAGGAATGAGCGAAATGAATTTTATTAAAAATTCAAAAGATGAACCATATAATATTGAACGCAAAGTTGCATGAACCAAGTCAGAAATATACATAAGCATCGTATTCGCTTGGCTAGTCAACCGTTAGTCAACCGTGACATTTTTATATTCACATTGTCTGATTGATTATGCGATCGATGTGAATATGAAATATGAGTAGAAAACTTACGCGCAACCAAACTGATTGAGAGTTGGGCCAATTTTCATCGGCGGACTCAACTACACCCATATCATGATAGAACGACGGAATTGGGTAATTAGCCGAATTATTACGATCATTGCGTGTAACCAACACGCTGGTGTAGGAATTGATACCGAAAAAGTCAGATGTGCCTTTGATGCGTTCGATTTCTTCGGGTGTAAATGTTGGTAAACGTGATCGCGGGGAACCTTGCTGTTTGCTATGCGCTTCAATGCGATCGATCATCACTTGTGGATAGTCGCCATTCTTTGAGAAAATCGGATGAGCAAACCAGCCAAGCTGTGAAATGATAAAAATAGACGCAAATCAGTTTATTTTCAACAATTAAACCAAAAGCATTTTGTTATTGTCACTGTTTGTTGACACAAGCGAAATTACTCCCTTGGCCTTAACTTTAAACACAGAGTGTCAACGCACAAATCTGTTCACTAATAACCGTATTTTACATAATATATATGTCATAGCATAGCCATAACCACTATTCAAATGGGTTCAGTTTCATTGTCAAGTAACAAATGATCTAGTTAAGTGTACTCAATGGTGTATCTTCCTCCATTGACACTGGAATTGTGTGTCAATTGGATGAGGAAGAACTGTTTTATATTTTCTAACAATATAGCGTTCTTTTTTTTTTGTTGATTGTCATTCCAAATCGAGTTATTCAACTTTCTGAGGTTTAAAAATTCAATTGAATTTTGAATCGTAAAATGAATTTTTGCTTTGATACAGATACAGTTTTGCTCAGTAATTAGGACTATAATTAGAAGTTACGTACAAGCACAACAAAGCTGTAATTAAAAAAAAAACTGACGACGAATAAAAACTTGTGACAAACAGTGGACGACAAAAATGCGGAGCTTTATTTTTTTTCGTCCTAAAAACTTACATAAAATTGTAGAGCAAGTTCTGATGCAATTTTGTCATCATTCGAGTCAGTTTTTGGTTGTGGATAAGAGATGTCGAATGTCATGCCAATCTTTCCTGAAATATGGAAGAAAAGAACAGAATTTAAAAAAATGATGCTAAATTTATTCTGATTTAGTACAGCAAGTCATAATCTACGAAATGAAATTCATACGAATGAAATTAAAATTCTAAGATCGATTAAATCATCTCATTATTGTGCATTTATTCGTAGCTCTCGGGAAGCAAATGAAAGCTAATGTTCACTTAACATTTCCTCTGCATTTCAAATGAAAAATTAAACAATTGAACGATCGCCGGTCAATCGTCGAATGAAAAAATTCTATGTTAAAATGTAATATTAAACAAGAAACATCTGTGACTTAGCATTTTTAATGATACTCAAAAGTCTCTTTTACAATGACCTTGACGTTGATATAGAATTTATTTTCCAGTTTTCCCTCTCATTGTTTGGCAACATTACGCAATGCTTTTTTCTTTATATTTTTCTCACTTCGTATGATCACGCGCTCTTATTGCGCATTGAAGCGTTGATTTTGCGTTCGAATTAGTGTAAGTGGATATGAAACTGAGTGTTCAGAAACCAACAAAGAATTGACACATTGTTACACACACTAAACGACATTTCCAATACGAGAATTCATCAATTCATGATGGCGTCAATAGTTTTTATTTTTCCCCATTTGCAAATCACCGTTAATTCATCGAAAATCTTCGGTATATTTTTTTTTCCATTTTTCAATTATGAGTACACGAAATATACGCAACAATGAAATGCAATATTCATCCTTTGATTACTTTACAGATTCTTTTTTGTACGTTTGTTTCCCGTTTCGATATGTTAATGTGTCACATAGCAACAACAAGCGCTTAATCTGATTGAATGAGATATGTGGAATTTTATAGGATTTACGCCAATTGAATCCATCAATTAAGCATCATAAAATATGCATCAATGACTTTTATGTTCTTATGATCAGCAAAGTAGATGCAATTTAAAGGACACTATCAGATTTCATAGAACATTTTCAAATGGCATTTAATCATATACACATTTATAAATAGTTTTATGGTCTTGATATTTCCAGCGAACGAACGATTCCCGTTTAATCAGTTAGAATTAATCATAAAACATTGTAGATCACATTAAAACACACGAATTGTAGAATGCTTCTAATTATTGTGCACGATGGATGAAATCTTGATTCTTTAATGCGGCTTAAATGTGAATTGCGTCTAAAATGATTTAAGACCATCGAAGCGCTTATGATTGAAAATATCAGCGCTTCTACAATTCTGGTGTAACAAAACTGTGAGTGATACTGTAATAAAACGAGTCTTATCAATTTTTGAAAGTTGATTTGTTTTCCTGTATTTTTTGAAAACTCTAATTAGAGTCATGTATTTTTCCAAATAAATGGCAAAGGTGATAGCCTGGTGCAAAAATAAATGCTTGCCATCGCTTCAAAACGATGGAATTAAACCGGCTGCGCATGGTTAGAAAGTTCAGTGGAAAGTGAATTCGACTATAAATCAAGACAATTTTTATTTGCAAATATAAATGGTAAAGTGAAGAATGTGACCAGGAAAATCCACATACTTTGGGTTTTTGCACGCCCCAGTGACGGTGAATATATATACGTCACAGTAATTGCATTTTATCGCAATGAAAGACATAATAAAATGTGTATAGCGATAATTGGACATTCATGTATGGGCTGGATTGTGCAGGACACAGCCATTGCAGTTGATTTGGTCTTGATAACATTAAACAAGTCAACGCATACGTTCATCTGTTGATTTTGTCCAGAATCTTCGACTTTAAAATGAAAAAAAAAAAGAGATTTAAATGCATGAAGCGTAGACAAATGAAACCACAAGCTATCGTAATGTATGTCATGAGAATATGATCATTCAATCATTCACTTTAGCTAACGTATCATTAGGATTGAGCGAAAACGACGATATTGTTGATTGGGTGCAAAGATAATATGGGTTGCACTTTAGAATTCACTAAACGCGCTCGCATTTTGTGTGATTGCCCATGATTTTTCATCCATTAAAGTTAAGTCCGCTTAAATCCGGTCTCCATGAGTTAGCTCATTTGTGTGTTAAAGGCAGATATATTTCACGTAATAATTGTAAAAATTCTGGGCAATTAATCAGAAAAACCGCAAGCAATGAGAAAAAAAACAACTGATCAAAAGAGAATAACAAGAGCGAAAATTTGATAAAGCTTACACCAGATGTAATGCATACCGTTCGAGCGCATACAATATGCAAACATACAAAACGCTTGCAACGTATCAAGATCAACGATTTTTAATTCACTCACCAGCCGACAGACAGTGAAGTGAATATCAATTTGAGACTGTATCTTGTTTCAACCTCTGGAGTTGATAGCATGCGCTTCGTGTAAGAGACACTTGAATGCACTGTAAAAGAACGCCATTGCACGTTCAGTGGTTTAATGTTCGAGTGGTTTAACAGATTATAAGATCATTAACTACTGTACCAATTGAGTGACAAAGTAGTTAACCGCAACTACAAATGCGTCGGAAAATTTCACACACCAACACATTGTACAATTGTAGATGCGATAGATAAAGATTTTTTTCAGCAAAAACGATGTTATTGTTAGCGAATCAATGCAAATCCAAGAAAATATTATTCACGTTTAATATTGTGGAGTTACGTACCTTTTTGAGTTGATTGGAATCGATTTCGGTATAAGTGAACCATTTCAGCGTGCGCTTTCAGTACGTTGTGACCACACATGTAGCCTGGAATTCCGGGGAAGTTCATGGCTGGTGCCATAAAATCGACTCCATACGCCATTTCGCAAAAATGCCATGGTTCGTTGATGGTAGTCCACGTCTAATTGTGCCACGAGATTGAGTCAGCCAAAAATCGAGTGGAAAAGAGAAAAAAAAAATCGTCGATCCAATGAATATGTTATCGGTAAAATACCGCATTTTAAACGGAAATCATTCAAAACGAAGTCAAGGCATTCCATTTCATCTTCAATGCGATTATTATTCAAGAAATATTGCGTTTTTGATGACGCTTTGTGATAAGACATCTTTTTTTTTTGAATAGATTACTTTTCGAATGGTGTTTATGTTATTGTCATTTTTTCATGCAATTTATTCATGCTTTGCCTACCTTAACACGATCGCCGAATTGTTCGAATAAAATTTTTGCGTAATCGGTTGCATAATCAACGATCGCTGGATTTGTCCAGCCACCCAACTCCTGTAAACGTGCCGGTAAGTCCCAGTGATAAATTGTTACCATTGGCGTAATGTTGTACCTGTTTTTCAAATGTTACAATAAAAAGAAGAAAAAACTTGTTATCGATTCAGTTTACTGCCCCAATTCTTACCACACTTTTACACATATTATTCATTCATTCCATTTTTTTGATTGAAAGTGACGTGAAGGAAAGAAAAAACAGAAAATAGTTTCCCATGTTTACCTTAGCAATTCATTGATTAAATTGTTGTAGTAGCGAATTCCATGTTTGTTAACATGTGTAACGAAACCATTTGGAAGAATGCGAGGCCATGAAATTGAAAACCGATAAGTATCCACTCCAAGTTCACGCACCATTTGCACGTCACGACGCCACTAAAACAAAACGTTAAAAATAATGATAATTTCTCTCCTGATTAAAATCAAATCATCTTAAAATCGACCAAAATAAAATGTGTGATAGCGTCAGCAGTGCAAGTGTTGCAATTTTCACGTGATTTTCTCTCTATTTTGCGATACCTGATAAAATGCTTTTCGCAATATGGTACACAATCACTTGTTATGTTAATCAATTGAGCAATTGTTTGGTCTCAAATAAGGTTATACGTGAGCACTCTAAACAAATTATAAATTCATTTAGCAGAAAAATGCGGAACTAAACTACTTTTTTTGCACACGGTTTCAAACCGATGACGGATACGATTCAATGATTATGATGCTTAATTGAAAACAATCATCGCATGATTAAGCGGAATTATGAATTAAATTCATGTTAAGGTGTCAGTTTATGATTGATCAACTAGAAAACGTTTATTGTTTATTGTCAGATTAACTTTTGCTAATTCACGCTTTTGCGTTGGGTCTTAATAGGAGAATAAGCGAAAATACAATAGAATATCGATATGATGCGTAAGTGTTCCATTTCACCCACGTGTGGACCATTCTTACGTTGTCCAAATGGAGAACATTTCAATCACCTCCACATGATGTGAAGACAAGGTCAATTTCATAGCATATTCACCGAATGTTCCATGTTTGTAAGGAAAAATCTAAGCGACGAACCCGACTCGCTTACCTGGTGGTAGCTATCACTGCTCACATCAGCGTTACTGTGATCGGCTATTTTATCAGGATGGCGATGCGTCATTGTGTCCCAAATAGACTCGCCCTTGCCATGTTTATTCCATCCACCCTCAACTTGATACGCCGACGAGCCTACACCAAATAGAAAGTCTGATGGAAATTTTCGATTCGGTTTATCACAGAGCCTAGAATGGAAGGGACACATAAAGAGAAAATATCAATGAAATGTTAAAAGATTCGATTTTATCTATGGTTATGAACGATCGTGCCGATGAAAAGTTAATTGGCAAACAACAAAGAAAAGCATGTCTTTGTTGTACGGATTATGTCACGTTTTTGAATTGATCAGTTCAAATTGCACCTATTTATACACTGCAATTGAACTGTCTTGCTGTTGCCGCAAGCGATGGCAATAAATAAATCAACCATTTTTCTAAAGCCTCACGCCCTCAGAAAATGACTAGAAAATTTTTTGTGCACGGAAAATCATTTCGCATTTAAATTTCAAATTATAACCATAAAACCTAGGTATTATTGTTTGATTTGCATGGAATATTTTTACATTTCATCCCAGAACTCTTCACCTGGAAACTATTTTGAGAAATATCGAAACGGATTAAATTCAAACATGCACAATGGTAAAGGAAGCACCTGCTGATTGATTACATTTGTTTGTTCTCTATTGATCAGCGTTTGAGGAGTCATAAAAGCGTGATGTCGCCGTCATGTGGACCTGCGACTCATGCTGTGAATATCTTGCGTGAATCTCCTGTAAATCATGATTTGCTTAGGGCACCACATCTTATTTTAAATTCAACACTCGTTAAGATTCTATTTGAGATAGTTCTGATGATCGGTAACGAATCGTTTTTTCTGTGTGTGAACAGAATTCGCTTGTCTACGAATCATATCATGATATTAAGAATAATGATTAAACAATCTTCTTCGTTCTCATCTTCCTTTATCCGACGACGCAGATTGCTGTAATCGTATAATCAGAAATCCGCTAAAAATTAACTAATTCTATTGCTTTATCTTTCTTTTGGACTAGGGGAATTTCTCACGAAAAAAATGAATGAATTCTTAAAAATTTTGAAAACTTTCTTCAATTCGGTCCGATTCGATCAATTTTTGTCAATTCGTGTAAATAAATCTACATTTACACTGAACTTTTGAATTATGCTTCAATGAAATTGTTCCGGAAGTGGGTTTTGGTGGACCTCAGGGATCGTTCAGAACTGCTCCCGGTTCTGGAAGTGGATCTTCAGGGTGGGCCAGGGCAATGTCAAACCGGATCTGGTCCATCCTGAGCATCCACCAAAACCCACTTCCAGAATCGGGAGCAGTTCTGAACGATCCTGAGAATCCTCCAAAACCCACTTCCAGAACACTTTTATTCAAGCAAAATCGTCATTTCAGTATATTTTCATACAATTTCAATAAAAAAGAAGAAACAATAGAAATTTTTGCACATTTGCTCAAACTTCTTGTGTGAGAAATCCCCCTAGCTTTTGGACTTTGCTATTTTCGGCGAACGAAATTTTTTTTTTTTCGAATATTCTAATATGTGCCTTGAGCTGAATTCAAATCCAACGATTATGAGTGGTGGATTTAAAGGAATCCGGTTCGGTTCTAATTGTGAGTTGCTCACAAGAATGTACACAATTTATTATTGCAAAACATTTATTAGCATTATGTTCGCGGCTTATCAAGTAATAATTGATCAAATTAAGTCAATAATTTGCTATGCCGTTGTGTCTACTCAGAATTAGGTAAATAAGAAAAACGTGTTCTAATTATTCCTCTTAATAATCTGCTATGTTCGAAATAACGTTCAAAGTCAATTATCAATCACGGCAATAATCCTGCGCTCTTATTTGCAATTATAGGCTTTAACATATTTTCTGCAGCATTTTTTAAGCATTTTTTTTTTAAATTTAATAACATATTCCAACATAGTAACAATATTTTATTCAAATAGTCCATATTTTGCACTTAACGTTTCTTTTTCTTTTGTTTGGTTAAATTAAAAAACTGGAGGCTTTAAATTCAATCACTTACCCATTTTGTAGGTATGAAAATATCACTAATAAGGTAATTCCAAAAGATTTGTAAAACATATTTAATTGTTTATATGTCTAAAGTCATACAAAATCGATTCAATCCAAGTTTATCTTCTGCAGTCGAAAAAAAAAATTAAACTTTTCCTTCTATTTGCACCGAAAAGTTTCTTTTTATTGTTAAATTAATCAAACGGCAACTGTAATTTTTCTTTGTCGATTCGCAAATTCAAACACCAAAAACCGATGCCGTTGAAATGTTGACTGTGATTTAGCCGCTTGTTAAAGTTGCTGCTACAACACGATATTTAACAATAACTTGAAATTTGTCTCGACTCACCGTCATATATATCAACTCAGTGTGCACCTGTGTCCGCTTGATCTCTCACACACAACCAGCTGATTGTTACATATGTATACATATTCATACCGAATGTGGACACAATGGCCGCGTGCCGTCGCACCAACACTTTTTACAACACCGATAGCGAAAGAAAGAGTCGCGTAAAGTACGATTGATGTCAAAGTGTTGTGCTCTCACACGGTGTACGTCGCACAGCTATGAGCTAACATTTCAAATCAGATTAATTCAGTGGTTTTTTTGTATTTCTCTTGTACATGTTCGTGTGTTTTTTTTTTTGGTTATTTCCAATATCCAGATGAGTGACGCACTTGGTTTATCTCATCTGTTGATATATTCTCTGCTGTAGCATACAGTCATAAATTGGAATAATGGCTTATTTGGCCCATTCGTGTGCTGATATTTTCGCATATTCGCAATATTCGGCAGCAAAGCGACAGAATTGATGACGTTGTTTTTTTTAGTGTAATTGGATTTTCAAATTTCATTTTACTGGAAAACGATTTTTTGCGTCAGCGGCTCTCCGAACTCTGTTGTTTTTGTTAGCCTTTCACTTGAGATTCAAATCTATCGCCAAAATTAGCAGCTTTGCCAGTCTGTGCAGTAATTACTGTCATCATTTTTATAATTCGTTTACACGGAGCTGTTATTATGATTACAGAGTTTTAAAAACGTTGCATAGCAAAGACACATGCACAAATATAAGATTTTGAATCATCTTAGCTAGATATGTTCTACCACACCAAAGAGACGCTTATCAGTCGTTTGTAAGCGTATCTTATAATAATGCATTTGTTGAGATTAATACGTTCCAGGTGTTGAATTGCATTTTCTTGCACTTTTTTAATAATACAAAACGCGTGCAACTTGTCTTTGAGCATCTTTCGTTAGCGTATACATTTGAAGCTCTCTAATGGGTTTTTACACATCAGCATTTTATTCGGTGCTTTAACCGCAGATTATGGCTCTTGATTAGCGCGCGGCCACAGAAATAGAAAAAAAAATGTAAATAAACGCCAACTTTGAATTTGGATTTGTTTGAAAAGTGCAAAACATAAATGTGGAAAAATTCCATTTCGAATCAGGTTAGCACTTTGTTACAGTACACAAATATTAAATGATGAGACCGGGCATTCCGACTCATAAATTTGCTTCCTTTTAACGGGTATGAACAGATTCAATTGGCGCTTGTTCAATGACGTAAAACTGGTATAGACTCTAACCTTACTATTTATATTCATTCCTTTTGTTGAAGTAAACGATTCAATTTTGTGGTGGTAGTAGCGGGCGCCATCAGAATAGCAAGAAAGTAAAATTCTATTTCGCATACATGTGTTTGAATTTGAGTTTCTTGATTCCATAAACGAGTCATCGTACCGGGGATTTTATCATTAAATTCACGATATACCGTTCGATCCAATTACGTGTTCTTATCAATGACTAATCCATTGATTTTCTTCGAATCAATTGTGTTGCGTGTGTTTGTTGTTGTGTTCGATTCCGTCTAAATATCGCCCTTTCTTGGGAATCATATCCAAACCAATTGATTTACTCAAGTATGTATATTTCTGATTAATAATAAATAATCTTGAGATTGTTATATTTTCGAATTGTTTACAAGAACAAGAGCAGTAAAAAGTGATGAATCCATACAATTAAATGTTTTGTTTTTGATTCCAGCGTGTACATTTTAAATCACTAGAAAAAAAAGTCAGTTGTTTTTTTTGGCATCTAGCAAACCCGTTTAACAGTTTGCAGTAACATTATATCACCGTACAGTAGATTCGGCACAGATGAATTGCAAAATCCATAAAATTCTGAATGTATTCGCCATAAATAACCCAGCCTAAAAATAAATTCGAAAAAGTAATTATTAGTTTGAACAGATTTTTCACTGTCACTTTTGCTCGTACTGTTATTTTCAACAAAATGACTCATGTTAACCGCAAATCACCAGAAGTAATTAAATTCTCGTGATCTGTCAGAATATACAGAGAGACTAGTTTTCGAAAACCGCAAGCTGCGTGAGGGAAAGTTTCAATGGGCTTTTATCCCCTTTCGTCAGTTTCATCAATATTTGGATAATAACACCGGCTATATTGATAATGATACAGTGTGTATCATTGATACACACCCACCATTCCTTTCATTCCAGTCACGTTAAGCATGGTCTTTTCTTGAATGTCAAATAAAAAAAACTGATCTATTTCGATGTGTTTGGGGATAACCCAAGCCAAATGAGTGAAAAGAAGCGACATAATATGAAATTAATATGACAATTGATCAAGAAAATGATACAATCAAAAGATATTGTAATGAGAATGTCGAGTTGAAATTAGTCACAATTAGAGGTAGATTTAGTATATATCATTTATGTGTTAATTAATCTCTGTGAGTATTTTTCTCATTTTTCGTCTCGTCCGTTTGATATTAAACGCCATTTCAGTCAGCTCAAATGACGACTTATCACCGAAATTCAAAGGTTAGTCCCAACTATTAACAGTGCTTCAAATCACTTTTACTAGTTCGTCTTTGGTGTTTAATTGTGTTTTGTATTAAAATGAGATATAACTTCGTTTCACTATGCTTACACCCAGCCACAAATGACTCTTCGAATTCCAAATACGTAAAACTACGCAAAAATAGCGGAAATCCATTCACCAAAAACGCGTAAAATACGAAACTCAATGCAAAAGAATTGTTAGCACAATAAATGTTTTACAAAATATTACAATATAATCGCATTACGTGGTCCCGTTGATTTCGATACAAAACACATGATGCGGAGATGTATATGCTAAGTTCAAGAGAATTGGATATGAAGTCTTTAGTAAATTTGTATATGTGTGGAAAATTTTTTTTAAGATTTGCATTAGTTTACATTGGATACGATGTGCACCATGGAACCGGACAAAAATATTCATATCTGTATTTATAGGTTTAAAAATAGTTTTTTCACCTAATAGACTTATTATAAACGGCAAATTGAATAATAATCAACCGGTTTCTATAGAAAATAACACTCTGCTCGATGTGAATCAACTAAAAATATTATTGACACTTTGAATCGAAATTGCAGAAAAAATTGCATTAAATACACAATATACATATACATATCATACAAAAGCCAGAATATCACTGACCTTTCCCAGAACAGTATCTCTTTTCAGTCACGTTAACGCTTCTCAACTGAGTCAAGCTTACTGTTAACTGCAATTATAAAAAAAAACATCCGACAGTTCGAATTGTTTTAAGTGATGCATGCTTTGTCTTTCATCCAAAGAATATTACAAATTGATTAATGAGCATTTTAACCCAAGAAATATATTTTCGATCAAGTTTCATTCAGAATAAATCGTTTAATTGAGCATAATTTCTATTTCATTGCTTGTATGGCTAACGCATAAAAGAGAAACAAAAAAAAACTAGTGAGTAACTCTAAACTGAAGTTTCATAAATCAGTTTTTGAATTGATTATAGTGTTGGCCGTCGAACACTTTCGAACACTTGTTCGACCGTTCGAAAGCATTTAAAAAAATTGTTTTGTTCGTTCGTTCGTTCGAAAGTTTTGTAAAAAATTATTTTGTTCGTTCGGAAAGTTGAAATTTTTTTTTTGCTCGTTCGTTCGTTCGAAATTTAAGTATGTACGTTAAGTACGTTAAGTACGTTAAGCTTAAGTACAAAGTTTAATCAAGGACTTAACGGTAATAACTATCATCTTAGTAATTACTTATTAATCGGTAATAAGATCGATAATAATTATTACCAGTGGTATTACTCAGTAATAACACCGGTAATTACGTTGTACCTTCAGTCTTACCCAAAGAAATCAAAATTGTATTTGCTTCCTATGTATTTCAAATGTAAAAATCCCAACGGTCGAACATAGCAATTTCCGAACGAACGAACGAACAAATTTTTTTTTTCATTATTTTCAAACGAACGAACGAACAAAACAATTTTTTCTTATATTGTCGAACGGTCGAACGAACGTTCGAAGCCAACACTAATTGATTATTGGACGGAAAAGTGAATAAAAAACATTTCCGCACTTATTTCTCTAAAATTGATTGAAACCGACTTGTAATTCTTAGTCATCGTAACTTGTCTCGGAACAATATGGGTCTTTTTCACTGTGACGCACAAATCAATTAATCGCAGAATCTGTATGATGACAGTGAAATCAGACTCCAATCATTCTCATAGTAATGCACTGATTTACATATGAGTAAATTTTTTAGTCCGAAGAATGGAGCATTTCAATCTAGCTTTATTGAGCTCAAGAAACTCATGTAACGTAAGAAGGATTTTTTTTTCATTCTCAATTTCGTGAAAATTCTAACGCTCATTTATGATGAATATATGCCGTTTCATATGGTTTCACATAATTAATAAGATAAATCCAAAAACACTTTGTAATCTGTTACAGTTTTCCCAATTGCGCAAATCATCTCCATGCGTAGATCGTGATCAAAGCAAAAAGCAATTGTAAGAAAGATTTGGTATATTCATTCTTTTCAATAATACAAATACTATTCCGGGTCCATATTTGGTCTTCCGGGAGGTAATTTTTAAAGTGACAATAATAATGTATCCAGAATGCAGAGCTAAATTTAACCAAGAACAATATCCAATACAAGTTCGTTGTTTGGAGTTTTTGGTACTTTGAGTTATCTAATTATGAATACTTCTCCTTTCATTTTGTCTAAAGACTATTTCCTTACGCATCATTGATTTGATTTGCTCTATGGAGTGTGTTTGTGATTGCGATTTATGTGGTCGAATACCGAATACTTTTACACTTTTAAAATCTCAACCAATCCAATTTTGCTGATCGTATGTACTTTTCATAAGACTGTCTTTGATCAGATCAATATCGATCATCGTAAGCAATCAAACCTCTTGGTTAAGAGATAATGAATAAAAATGCTATTTTCCCTGTGTAAATATTGTTCAACTTACCTAGGGGACTATCACAAACGAAACTGTGGATTATTACCCTAATGGCTGAATAAATCTTATCTCATTTTTGAGCACCATTCAAAACTGTCTGTAAGGTATGCAAAATTTGAACTAGAGTTTTGAAGTATTTGCCAAACTCCCTTTATTACCTTGTGAGTTTCAGTAGACTTTCAGTATTGATAGAAACGTATCTAAGCAATTTCTAATTGCTTTCGATATTTCACTTACATCATTACTCGGCGTTCACGTATCCAGCTCACAAAAAGTTTCAACTACTATCAATCCTTTTCAAAGAATATATCGAGTTATATTGTCAAAACAAATAAACATCAATAAAACAAAACTACTACAATTAAGTCAAAAAAATAACAGTCGGTTTAATTCTTTCTAAATCCAAATGTTAAAAGAATTCGTCGAAATAAAATAAATATTTTAACTAGACATTAACCATTGATCTATGCAACAGTTTAAATGTGGCCTCGACACTTTTTTGATCCGCATTGACACACGGTCTGCATATTCTTTTTGCCCCAGTTGTAATCAAAGGTGATTTCCTCGCCCTGTAAAAATGGAACAAAAAAGAACAGAATAGCAATTAGATTTCAAGAAAACGCGCATTGCATCGAAACCAAACTGTAGATAGGCTAACGTACCGGTAGAATCTCGCGCCGTGCAAAGAATCCAATGCGAATTTGTTCTTGTCCATTTGAGTACACAGTCCATTTGTTCGGCGCAACGTTTGGATCACACGAATGGTTGATGAAACGTGCCTCGTTCCCATACACGGCCGCGTCAATATACATATTTTGTCCGAGTGTCAGAAAATAGTAATTATCGTCTTTATTGGCTTTGGCACGACTGAAACGTTGGTCAAATTCCACACTGTCAATCACCTCTCCCATGTACTCAATGATGAATTTCTCTGCGGGAATCTTCTCCTTGGCAAATAGGCCCCACCCCTTGGATTTGGTCATTTTGACTTGGAACGAAAACTGTTCACCACGATGGAAATTTTGATTTTGGCACTTGTCTTTCGCTGGACACAGATCAGGGTCGCATTCAAAGTTCAGCATTGCATTGTAGCAATTGCTTTCGATACTGCACGGTGCTGGATCGTCGGGACGACATTTGCACTCATTGTATTCCGACTCCTTGAACCTGGCCACCACTCGGTTGGTTTTGATTTTCTTGTACGGTGGCGGTTTGCTGGCCGTATTACTGGATTTGACATTTTTCTCGGTTATCTCTTGATATCGATTCATCCACTGTTCGGCCTCATCCATCGCATTTTTTAGCTTTCCTTTTTCATTTTTCGGTCGGAATTCTTTATCTTCGTGCACGTATCGATAGATTTGGTTTTGAGACACCCAGCCGTAATCATGTGTACCAAAGAAAAAAACACAAATTTGATTGGGCTCTTTTTTGCCAGCGCACACTCGATCGGGAATACATGGTGTGGGTACAGTTATCGCTGGCCACCACGGAGAACACGAATACTTACACCATACGATTTCTCCAAACAACGGTCGGCGACCGGATTCACATTCCTACGTTTACAAGAAAAAGTTCCAAAATTTTAAAATATAATCGTATGACACTGAAGTGGATTTCGTTTGAATTACCTCACAATTGAAATGATCTCCAACGGGTACTTTTAGACAGTCTTGATGAAATGCATACACACAAGCATCGCAACAAATGAGTGAGCCTCCTTGCGAGCAGAAAAGACAGAAATCGATATTGAGACGTTTCAAATTTTTGGTTGACTGATGGCGAGCACAAATCAATTGTGTCTCCGATAGCAGCTCACTTCCAGCTGGAATACATTCCGACGAACGATGATATGTTCCCGGGCACAGTATACATTTGATTAGCTTTTTATCTGACTCCGTGGTGTGAAACATATTGCGAATGTCGGGCGAAACACAAGTGTGACAGACGTGTCGAGAGCAGTGCAAACTTTTGAGTTGGTTGCTTGCGTATTGCTTTTTGTGCTGTGGCCAATACTTGAGGCACTCCAAATGGTATGCTTTTCCGCAATTTTTGTCGCAACATTGAACACAGTCGGCGTCCGAATCCGAACATACAAAACATACATTGGCTGTTGACGTTGTGCAAGCTGCACACTGCATTTTCTCCAAATTCTCTTCAATAATGGAAACAGTGTCAGTCGTTTCTTCATCGTTTTCTAACATTTTTCGCTTCAGAATCGCATTGTAGTCTGCATCTGAAAGCGACTTACTCAGGCAATCCCTATGAAAATACAGGCTGCATTTTCCTGCGCATTTCATAACACTGCCACTTCCAAGGCAAAATTGACAAACTGGATCTTTGGGCAAGCCTTTGAGCAAAAAGTTTGCCGGATGACGTGTTATGCAGAAGTTCATAAGGTTTTCGTTGAGTTTGCGTTGTTTTTCAAGCTTCGTCTTTTCCTTCGATGGTTTTTCCTTGATCTGGCTCTTATTAATCTCATCAAACAACGCCTCCATTTGCTTTTCAGCCATCGCCTTCTTAACGGCAAGTTGTCTCTGGCGTTTGGTTTGGTTCGGTGTACCAGCCGTTGAATTCGATGCCACACTATCGATGGAGAATTTTCGACTCAAACGTTTCAACGATGTGTTTGGATTCTGTTTTGTTTTCACCATTTCAGACCAAAGCTCGTTCAGATGTACCACAAACTTATTCTCATTGGCTATGGTATTTTGACTGTCTCTGGACAATCGGTCATCGTCTCTCAATTTATCATACACCAATTTGGTCAAACGGCAGTAAATTTGATCGCTTGACGATGGTGACTCACTTATTGCAGCAAACATTGTCGAGTCATCCATTTGCAAATCTTCTTCAGGCAGTTCCTCAGGTCGACTCAGTTCGACCGACTTTAAGTAATTATTGATATTTTTACCAACGTCATAATTACGATCCAGTTCATTTAATGTCGGGCTTAACGATGCCGGTGACACTGATTGTTTCATCGACGAATATGCGGTGTCAAACGTTTGTGGTGTATCGCAACGATCTTCAACTTTGTGACGATTTGAACGTATTTCAGTATCCATCTTATGTACCGAAACCATCAAAATTTTATCATAAAATTCGATACGATTGGATAATGTGATGCACTGCAAAACATTCGCTTCTTGGACTGCAACGTTCCACTTTTTGCTGGAATTATATTTGTACGATTTGTTACGTCTGTTGGCTGGCAACTGAAAACAAATTACATTCACAGATAAGTGTGATACGGATTTTAAAAAAATAGGTCTCATCTCAAATATGTTGTAGGCAATTTATATATTTCTGCTTACACAATAGTATTCCATGCAATGATCAAAATAATTTCGATTAAACGACTTTTATTTCGTCATAAGAAAGTGTTTGACCGATAAAAATGTGAAACAGAGAGAAAAAATTGTACCTGGCATTGTTTGGCGAACTCATTACGACCCTTGAATGGTAATATCGCTGTGTTTGCGTTCACCCAATTACGACGCCCATTGTCATACAAGAATTTTACATGAATTTGATTATCTAAAGAGATCGATACAAGAAGAGAGAGAGAGAGAGATTATGTTGAAACACATTTCGTGACATTCATAACAAATCCACAACAACAACAAAAACAACAAATGAGTAATTAAGTAATAACTTTTTACCAACAATGAACTTTGAATTCATCAAAGTAATTATTATGTTCACATTTTGACGACATTTTGAAAGGAGAGTCTCACCTTTTTGAAATGTGTGTTCTTCTTCGGAATTGAATACTACTGCCGGCCAGAACGGGAAACTGGCCAGAGCCGCCCATACGATTTGCCCAACGTGCCAATTTTCAGTTGAATCACTGTCGCCACCGTCAGCGATAACACAATCGTCGCTGGTGCACTCCGAAAATGGTTTATCATTTACTGAGATCGCATCTGAACCAGATGTAGATATTGCGCAATCAGATATCGGGTGTGAAATATTGATAATTTCGATGAGTTTTGGCAAATCAGTCTTTTTGTGTGATGCATTTGGTGGTGGTAGTGGTGGTGGGGGTGATGACGTTGAATCCGCTTCGGATAATGGGAATGGTATCAGTGTCTGTGTGAATTGTTCGGATTCATTGTTATTGGATTTATCATCGTCTCCGCTTACACTGCCATCCGTTGAACTGGTCAAATCAACTTCATCGACGATTTGGATCGATTCAGCACGCGCGCGAAACTTCATCGGACCCACTAAATGAAATGTTTTTAAATCGTCTTCATAATCGATTGCCATTTGAGCTGTTTCAGTCCCGGCACTTTCTTCATGTGTTTCCATCTTTTCATCCATTTGTCCGATGCAATTGGTATCATATGTTGACACTTCGGTGCACAAATCAATGATCGGCTGGTTTGTGCTAACCTTATTTTCGTTTAGTTGAGTCTGAAAGTGATCATTGTTTAAACCAGTTTTATTTAGTGAAATCAACTTTTGAATGGGACTTTTTGTTAAAACGGTTGATTGACGATTCGACACAAAACGAAGCCACGCATTAATATTGTGTATAGAAAAAAGTTGTCGTACTTTTCGTTTGCTCTGCGTTTTTGATTGTTGTGTCAGCATTTTTTTTATCCGATTATTTGGTGATTCAACTGTGTTTATTTTGCGACCAAAGCGGCTGGTTGGCTGTCCTTCTGGCGATGCCAGTGGTATGATCATCTTGTCCGTGAAGTCCGATTGCAATTGTGCCATAATTCTTTGCCCCATCGTGCGTCTTCTTTTCCCCTTTGGAATCGCCTCGCTGTCATTGTTGTTGCACTCATTCATTGTCGAACGGCGACGCTTTCGCGTCATTTTGCTAAAATAAACAATTCACAACCACAATTGAAACAACACTCTTTGAATAAATCGGTGATTCTTGTCCTATGTGGAAAAACAAGGAGAAATTCCTATGTTACATGACGCTTGGCGCCAAAAAAATGACAATATGCGCTCACGTACAAAAAAAAAAAAAAATAAAAACGAATTTGACAAAAAGCAAAGTTGACTTACTTTTTTTCCGACATGGAACAATTTTCGTACAATATTTGTACACTTTCAGTGATTTATCAGAAAATATCTCAACAATTTTATAAAAACAGTTTCTTTTCCACGATTGTATTCATAACAACTGAGAAATTAATATAATCTCCATTTAATACTGAACACAAATGATGGCATTTGCACAATCTGCACTAAATCGCTTCGAAATGAGTGCGTTCTGTATTGGAGATTTCACCATTTGCAAAACAAGTGAATCAGTGGCGACACCATACACGTCGTACGGCACATATCGAAATTACGAGCGTAATGATATAGTCGTGCGCGTTGTCAAATGCCAAACGTATTCACAGTGTTTGGTTTCTGAGTCAAACAAAGTGTAAACTCGTCAAGAAAATTTCCAAGCTCAAAGGAGGAATTTCATTTGTGTACCAGCCGAAAATTAAACAGCAATTAATAATGGCACGACGCGGAGCACCCAACGAAGATTTATCAAACATTGAGTTTGAAACCAGCGAAGAAGTTGAAGTTGTGCCCACATTCAATTCTATGGTAAGTGAAGCTCATAGATTGCCCGACTTTTTTTTAGTGTTTCCCTTCATCGGCATTCAATGCTCTAGCAAAGCCCAAGAAAAAACTAATGTACATACTTCTTCTCTAATTCAGGGCTTGCGAGAGGAGCTTCTTCGCGCGATTTATGCATATGGTAGGTGTTTTGTATTTGATATCATAAAGTTTTTTTTCTGGTTTTCATTCAATATGGCTGTGACATGTAGTTTATTTGTGTGAAAGCGCATAACCTCACAAATAGTGCGGTCTTTTTCGGCAGCGGTTAACAAACTTATTTCTAAATTGATATCGTTGGTATTTTTGTAGGTTTCGAGAAACCATCAGCCATTCAACAAAGAAGTATTCTGCCAATTGTCAAAGGACGCGATGTGATTGCCCAAGCTCAGTCAGGTAAAATGCGATATTTATCACAGTTATGATGGATTTGAAATAAAACTGAAAATTCTCCTCTGAATTTTAGGTACCGGAAAAACTGCAACATTTTCTATTTCCATTTTGCAATCGCTTGATACGACTCTGCGCGAGACCCAAGTATTATGTTTGTCACCTACTCGTGAGTTGGCCGTCCAAATTCAGAAGGTTATTTTGGCATTGGGTGATTTTATGAACGTGCAGTGTCATGCGGTAAATAAATTGGCTAATAAATAAATTTAGAATTGAACCCAGCATATTAAAATTTCATATCTAATCATGAAAACAATTTTTCAGTGCATCGGTGGCACCAATTTGGGTGAAGATATCCGCAAATTGGATTATGGTCAGCACATTGTCAGTGGTACGCCAGGTCGTGTATTCGATATGATCAAGCGTCGTGTACTACGGACGAGATCCATTAAAATGCTTGTACTCGACGAAGCTGATGAGATGTTGAACAAAGGGTTCAAAGAGCAAATATACGATGTCTACAGATATTTACCACCAGCCACACAGGTGTGCCTCATCTCGGCCACACTTCCACATGAAATTCTGGAGATGACATCCAAATTTATGACCGATCCCATTCGAATTTTGGTAAAACGTGATGAATTGACACTCGAAGGTATCAAGCAATTTTTCGTTGCGGTTGAACGAGAAGAATGGAAATTCGATACATTGTGCGATTTGTATGACACGCTTACCATTACCCAGGCCGTAATATTCTGTAACACCAAGCGTAAGGTTGATTGGTTAACGGAAAAAATGCGAGAGGCCAATTTTACTGTTAGCTCAATGCATGGTGACATGCCGCAAAAAGAACGTGATGAAATTATGAAGGAGTTTCGTTCGGGTCAAAGTCGTGTATTGATCACAACAGATGTTTGGGCCCGTGGTATCGATGTACAGCAAGTGTCATTGGTCATCAACTACGATTTGCCAAATAATCGGGAATTGTACATTCATCGTATCGGTCGTTCCGGCCGATTCGGACGCAAAGGTGTGGCCATCAATTTTGTGAAATCCGATGACATCCGAATTCTTCGTGACATTGAACAGTACTATTCAACGCAAATCGACGAAATGCCAATGAATGTGGCAGATTTGATTTAAATTGCGATTAGATTAAAGTTTACTCGCTCTTTCTTCTTTTCTTCATAATGAATAGCCCTCAAACGAAAAAAAAAAAAACAAACAAGAAATATGATGATAGGATACAGAAATTCGTTTGCTTGAACGGTCATTCTGTAAGCGATACAAGTTATTTTAAATTTAAATACAAACATTGAACATGTCCACATGTTGATAGACGAAATAAATCTTCTTCTTTTTATTTCTAACCAATACTTTTTCTAGTAAAATGGATACAATAACATTAACGTGTGACAAATGGATAATTTACTTCTCTTTTTTCAATAATTTAAGTTTCAAATGCACATGTCAAAATAAAAAAAAATCTCAATCGGAAAATAAATTATTTAGCCAAGACGAATGTTGCAGTATTTTTTTTATTCGTTCAGAACAAATGTGTTGTTGATAATAAAAATGGGAATTAAGAAGTGTTTGAACTGAAGCACAACATGAAATTTGTTCCTTAAAAACGTAATATGAATCGTCGCTTCAATAAAATAATAACATGAAAAATGTAAATTTTAAATGTGATTTTTTGTGTTTTTTGCGAAAATGATAAGATGTAACGAAATACTATCTTAAACAAAGTTATAGATCAAATCAAAGATTACTTCATTGTTTCTTATCATTTCCATGAAAACTGCATTCAAAATTCACATTTTCATGATACGATTCTGTTGAAGCGACGATTCATATTACGTTTTTAAGAAACAAATTTCATGTTGTACTTCAGCTCAAAAACGTCTGTATTCCTATTTTCATTCTCAGACACAAATGGTTCATGTAACAATTCATAAAAATACAACAAGTTCGTATGGCGAAAATTATTGATCACGTTGATATGATTATTTGCTGAGTTTTTCCTTAACATCATCTGGGATCTTGTTAATTATCGACATGTGCTCAACGTTTTTAGCAGTTGCGATGACGCCCATTTTGTTTGGGAATGCAACATCGTTGCCGTACTGATAATGGTTACCCAAAATATCGGTTAACATGCCGCCATCGGCTTCAAGAACTGCTTCAGGTGCTGTGAAATGGAATCGTAAATCGTAAGAGTAGAGGATTTTAGTTGAGATTGGAAAAGCGAACAAAGAAAAGTAAAAACTAACCACAGGTGTCCCATTTCTTGCAACCACCACTAGCAAAGACATACGCATGGGCATCTCCCTCAAGTAACTGTAATACTTTGTATCCAGCACCACCGACCCGAATCACCTTGGTCGGCTCAATTGCTCGCAGAGCGCTTTGTACCAATTCATTCGAGTGTGACCGTGTAGTTGTTGCTATTAATTCGCCTTGAACATGAGGTTTCGTTTCATATCCACTGCTGCCCAAGCCCTTCAATCCCCATATCGTGCGTCCAAATTCATCACTGCTTCGTTTGTAGTATGGTTGATGGATTATGCCACCGACAGCTTTATTTTGCACTGACAAACCAATCAAAACGGTTACTGATTCGAGAATACCTTGCGTGTATTCGGACGTTCCATCAAGTGGATCAACCCAAATCACTAAGTCTTGTTCGTTGATATTTGTAAGAGAGTCGGGGCATTTATTTTTCAAAAATTCCTGATCCAAATCGGTAACAATCCAATCACTGGGCACATTCACCAAATCGCTGGTACCTTCTTCGCCGATTATTCGAACATTTGGAAATTGGTTGGATAGTGAAGCAAGAATGCATCGTTGAGCTGATCGATCGGCTTCTGTTTGTAAATCATCACTTCCCTGTGAATATTATTTATTTGGTTAGAAAATTGTAAATAGAAAGGCAATTTCAATTGCCGCCACTTGAAATTCCTTTGAATGGCACACAGACACATAAATTAGAAAGTTCATTGTATGTGGGTCGTATTGTCTTACCTTATCTACAATACCCAGCTCACCAGCGCTCATGATATCCCGAATTATTTTACCAGCTTGATTTCCAATGGCAATGGAACTGGCCATAATTCGCATAACTAACGGTGCCGGTGACATCTTTTATTCCGTATGAATTCCACAACAATTTTCTAAAAAAAAATTTAATTGTTTAGCTGAATTGGTCGAGTGTCTTATCACAAATCTAATACTGTGGAATAAACTGATTGTAGCAGGGCTATTTAAATCAAATAGTCTACCATGTACTTTGTTAGGTATATTGTTTATCTACCACGTACATAAATACACAGTCACAACAGAACGCACTAATTCATCAAATTGATCGTATGCTACGAATGTGTGTGTAAACGTGTATAAATATATATTCAAATACGCGTATGACAGTCGACACAAAGCATAAAACTCTCCAATTTTTTTTCCAACTCTAGACTTATTTATGTCAAAATATATTGTCGAATCGAATTGAAGTAATTTTCTTCTTTTGGAGTTTGGACTTTTAGTCGAGAATCGTCGGTATTATATATTAGTCGAGGTAATTTTTCTTGCAAAACATTTAGGTAAATTCAAATCAAACCAAAATAATGAAAACATTTGATTTTTAGGTAGAATTAGTTTTGGATTGAGAAACAAAGATGGTTCGTGTTTTGGTCGGTGTAAAGCGAGTCATTGATTATGCGGTCAAGGTATTTATCAGTTTTTTCTATCTTTATTTTTTTTTTGTATAAAGATCAGATACAAATCACTAACATATAAAAATGGAAAATCACTCAAACAACTGTTTGGATAGACTGAAATAGATGCTATTTTTTTTTGTCTACTCTCGACAATCAAAGCATGAAATACGAAGTGATGCAGCAATTTTATTGTTAATTTGTTGTTTTTTTATGATTTTGATTAGATTCGTGTCAAGCCCGATAAGACTGGTGTCATAACGGAGGGTGTAAAGCACTCATTGAATCCGTTCGATGAAATTGCCGTTGAGGAAGCCGTCAAATTGAAAGAGAAATCAGTTGCGAAGGAAATTATAGCTGTATCAGTTGGTCCAACACAGTCACAAGAAGTTATCCGTACTGCTTTGGCAATGGGAGCCGATCGCGGTATTCATGTTGAAGTGCCAGCCAAGGAAGCTGAACTATTACAACCCATTCATGTGTCGAAAATTTTGGCAAAATTAGCTCAAGACGAGAAAGTCGATTTAATTATAGTTGGAAAACAGGCAATCGACGATGATGCCAATCAAACTGCCCAAATGACCGCTGCTTATTTGGATTGGCCACAAGGAACGTTCTGTTCAAAGATCGAAAAGGTGGGCGATGGATACAAGATTGAACGTGAAATCGACGGTGGTTTGGAATCATTGAATTTGAAGGCACCAGCCGTTCTGAGTGCTGATTTGCGTTTGAACACACCACGTTATGCCACTTTACCAAATATCATGGTATGAAATTCGGAAAATTATTTGTAATCGGAATGAAACTAAACCGTTTTATTTTTGTCATCTACAGAAAGCGAAAAAGAAGCCTATCAAGAAGGTAACACCATCTGATTTGGGAGTTGATACTGCTCCACGTATCGAGATTGTTTCGGTCGAAGAGCCACCAGTTCGTCAGGCTGGAAGCGTTGTTCCAGACGTTGATACTCTCATTTCGAAGCTCAAAGAAGGTGGTCACGTTAAATAAGCATATTGTTGTTTTTTTATGGTTGCTAAATACATTTTTCGATGGAGTGTAAACTAGAAAGTTTTAAATTAAATTTTGTCTTGTAGAGGATGCCAAGAAGCATGTGAATAAATGAATTTTTCTAAAGTAAACTTTTAAACTATTTTTCCATTGTACTGCATTCGGCATTTTACTTTAATTCAAAGTTATTACATTTTTGTGGTTATTTTTTGCTTTTATCCTTAATGGTATATTTGTCGTATGTCTTGGTTGGATCATACGGTTCCCAACGGCTGGCTGGAAATATGTGCTTATTTCGTTCGTACCAGGACCGCAACAAAACTTTACCAGCATGTGATTCTTCTTTTTCCACCGTTGCATCGCTGATCATACGAATGTCGTCGTGAACATCGAATTGAAAGAGTGGGCCAGACTTACCACGTGCCTTAGTCACGATAAAATCGTAGAATGAATAGTGATGCGGTAAAATTAAATCTTCTTTCACGTACATCAGCTGATCGGCCATCACTGTTTTCAATTCACTAAACTCCTTGCGAAGCGTTTCCAAACATTTTTGCAAAAACTGATAGATGGAATTGCCCTTTTTCATTGTTACCGACCGCCGATGTCCGGATCCATCCCAGTAACTGAATGTGATTGGAATCTCTTGATCTTTTAATGTTGCCTGTTGAGCAACCCATTCTTGCCGTAGTTCTTCTCGCAATCGATTTTCACCCTCTTCCCGTTCGCGATCCGGCAGAAATGATGTGTCAACATCTGGATTTTTACGTAACTTTTTGAAGGCTGGTCCTTCGTCAGCATCATCAGCTGTTGTCCAATAGCTTGATTTCTTCGAGCTCGACTGACTGCTGCTGTCATTCGACTCATCATTTTTGCTATTATCAATATCATCGTCATCGTTATCTTTGCCATTGTCGTCATCATCATCATTTTCTTCGTCCTCATCTTCATCTTCATCTAAGTTGAACGATAATGCCTGGATCTGTTTGCGCTGCTTATTTTTTTCGGCCTGTTTTTCCTCCAATGCACGCATCTTTTCCCGATCCTTCTCTGCCTTTTTCTGTGCCAGTTTCTTTTCTCTTTCTCGAACAATGTCCTCTTGCTTTGCCTTCATTTCGTCCAAAGTAACCAGCCCAATTGTGGATGTTTTGAGCTGTTGTTCGACGGCATCGTAGTGGGTTGCGAATTTATTCTCAATGGCATTTATCTTCAGTTCTTCTTCAATCTTTTTCTTTCGAAATTCAATCTCCTGCTGGGCAATCTCTCGCTTCTTCATGAGTTGCATGGCTCGGCCAGCTTCGCTGGCAGCTCCTTTGTAGTGTGCCATTTTCGTCGTTCACTCCAAACTTTTACTTATGATTATTGAAATATCTTTCGCGCTTTTCAATATCCAAAATATGCGTAAATTTGTTTGAGTCTCTTGCAGATATCAATAAACAAATGACTGAATCAAAACGATAGAACGAAACAACTTCGTTGTCTTGTCAATGACAAACACTGCAAAATGACAGCTCAATTCACCAATCATGTGCAGAGGGCGCCATCTCTAAAGCTGAAAATGGCTCAGTTGAATAAACCGTTTCCAATATAAATTCAAAGAATATTTCTCTGAAGATTTAAATCGATTTTGGTTAATATATTTTTTTCATTATTGGACATTGGATGCTGATTTTTACCCATTGAAATAAAATAAAAAGCCTGAAAGTAAAAATGTATATTATGAATAACACATTTCGACACTCGAATCTTTATTACCAACGAACTGAACATAGTAGTGTGCTGCCCCCAACAACAAAAACCTAAATCTTAAATGTCATATGCGTATATAGGTCGTTTATATTCGATTCAAACATCATTAGTGACACAGCTGCTATCCGACGCACTTCTTTTAACAGAAAGTTCAGTTTTTTTAAAGTTCTAAAATAAAAATCAAAATGCAACGACCAAATTTGTTGAGACGACGAATCCAATCCGATGCGGACGAAATAATCGACATGTTTCGTATTCAAATTCAAACAAATCGGACCAATGTGGGTGCAGTTCAAGCAGATGTGATCGATTTAAGACGCAGAATCCGAGCCAGAGACGGAAAAATCAACACACTGACGGAAGAGAATGAAGCAATGACGACACGAATCAGAAGAATTCAGAGAAGCAACAGAAGATTGAGGAGAAGTGAACGAACAATGTCGACGCGAGTCGACACTCTTGAGACTCAGAATGGCGAACTGGTGAGAGATAATCGAGCAATGACGACGCGAATCGACACTCTTGAGACTCAGAATGGCGAACTGGTGA